ATTAGAAGAAATCATTCTGGAAGAACACAAAGGATAATAGCTTTAGATACTTAAGTGACAATTGAATTTATTCTTATAATTGTTTTAATAGCTTTTGTATAATCTTCATCGCTATTATGAGATATAAAATGTATTTATCAAATCTGTAATCATTATGCCAAAAAATCTGAATTTCTGTAATATTAAAAAAATTTTTTTCACCATAAATGTAGAGTCTCAGGCCCTGCCCAGGGCTACTGAATCATACACTGCCCTTGGTTTATTATTACCCAGAAGTTTATGTATACTTTAAAATTTTCAGAATATTGTTCTAGATAGGGGCAGAGGAGGTTTTTCTGTAAAGAAATACAGTAATTGTTTTAGGCTTTGTGAGCTATGCCATCGCTATCATTGTTCAACTCTACACAGGTCTAGCCCTGGTAGAATTTCAATAAAACTTTATTTACAAAGACAGACAGTGCATTGGGCTTGGCATGGACTATGGTTTGCAAACTCCTGCTCTGTCCCTCAAGTTTATAGCCAGAAAATTGTCAATTTCTTCAATCAATAGGTATGATTTTTGCTGTCATTTGGAGGTTATAAGGATCTCTTTTTAGCACAATATATAGTTTATTAAAAGTTAGGTTTATTGAGTCATACTATATTTCCCCTGCCCCATACATGTGTTCACAGAAGGCTGGGTGATTCAGTGAAGATCTGTATAAAAAATCTATTTACTATCTATCTATCTATCTATCTATCTATCTATCTATCTATCTATCTATCTATCTAATCTAATCTATCTAATCTATCTTCTATCATCTATCTATCCCTTTTTTAACTACTTTTAGGAAGTGTTGTTTGTGACACTGTGGAGATGGCTCAGAGGTTAAAGGCATTTGTTACACAATCATGAGGACCAGAATTTAGATCCTGGAAGCTACCCTCATAGCGAGTGAACATCTTGCTCACACCTAACTCCAGCTCCAAGGGAGACAGACAGGAGGATTACTGGGGCTTGCAGGCTTCCACTTCAGATGAGAAAACATAAGCCCCAGGTTCAGGGAGAGACCCTGCCTCGAAAGGATATGTGAAGAGGAAATGAGGACATCTGATGTCCACTTCTGGCCTTTGCTCATGGGTGTGCGCGTCCGCACGCGCACGTGCACACACACACACACACTCATAAATGCACTCCCGTTCAGACTGCAAGCTTTGGAAATGAGGACATCTGATGTCCACTTCTGGCCTTTGCTCATGGGTGTGCGCATCCGCACGCGCACGTGCACACACACACACACACACTCATAAATGCACTCCCGTTCAGACTGCAAGCTTGCTGGTGTGTGATCAAACACCAAGGATTTAATTCCTCTGAGCCTCAGCTT